CCCTTAGCCAGGACTTAAATTTGTCGAGCAAAAAAACACGCCCAAACACACAGACTGCCAGTACACCACAACTGATAGTAATAAGATGCTAAATACCATTCATATTAAATATACGTATTGAATATAACACCATTCATTTATATTCAACAAAAATCGTATTAAATATGTACAAAAATAAAACTATCAAATAATATTAATTATATTCATAGTTTTCAATGCGAAGAGTGGTTTTTCTTCTTTTCTTGCAAATTCTTTTTATATTTGGTTTAATACTAAAAAGTTGGATTCGCATATCTGGCGCAGCATTCAGTCGACTTCTGTATTTCGTTTTCGTTGCTGCATAGTTCGAGAACCCAGTTTCGCACAAGTATGTACTGGCAAAGGGTAACAGCTGACGAATTGCGCGTCTTGATAAAGATGAATATTCTTGACTTTGACATAAGTCACTCCAAAATGTAATCAGAGAAACTTCTTTAAATTTTTGTATTAATTGGCCATCTGAAGCGATTTCAATTAGGTTTTCATAATCTTGTGTAGAAAAAATGACTTGCTTTTCTGTTAAACTTAATGGATTTCGAATCCAGTTATCGTTGTCATTGATGTTTGGAAAATACTTAATGATCGTGTATAAATCACGGAGATGATCTGCAATGTCGCTGCGAATATCTTCATCAAGTTTGTATCCATTTTCTTCAAGGAAATCATTCAGAGTTGGTAAACAATCCAAATCATTTCGTCCTACAGACGAGATCCAAAACTGTAGCTTCCGTGACAATGACAAAATTTTGTCTTTCGCATTACAGATATTTACATTCTTTCCTTGCAGCGACAGATTTACTTCATTTAGTTTTGTAAAGATGTCTGCAAGATACACAACTCTCGATATCCACAAAAAGTTTGTTAAACGATCAGACAGTTGGAATTTGTGGTCCATCAGATATGCGGAGAGCTCATGACGCAATTCAAATAATCTAACCAGCACTTTTCCTCATGATAGCCACCTGACTTCTGTATGTAGAAGCAGGGCTGTGTGCTGACTACCCATATCTTCACACATAATTTTGAACAGTCTTGATTGTAATGGTCGAGTTTTTATATAATTAATAATCTGTACTGCTTCGTCCAACACATTTTTAAGAGAGGGAGAAATATTCTTAACTACCAGAGTGTGTCTGTGGAGAATGCAGTGACTGCTGGTGCAGTTTGGTGCTACATTTTTTATTCGTGTTACAGCACCAGCCACTGTTCCTACCATTGCTTTGGCACTATCACTGTACACATCAACACATTTTTCCCAGCTTATTTGATGAGTTTTCATAAAGTTATAGATACAATTGAATATATTCTCACCAGTTGTATTGGTTTGCAAAAATTCACATAAAAGTAAGTCTTCTTCAATAGAACTATTAAAATCATAACAGACAAATACAAGCAGAACTGCAAGATCTGCAATGTCAGTGGACTCGTCTAATTGTAATGCATATGCATCACATAAATGCAGCCGAAAAATAAGCTCCTTCTCGATGTCAGCAGCAAGATCGTGAATACGATGTGTGACAGTATTGTTTGATAGTGACACAGCCTCAACTTTTTTACTAGACTCCTGATCGAACATACACATTACAATATCTTTTGCACATGGTTTTATGAGTGATTCCCCAATAGTTTGTGCTTCTCCAGCGAGTGATATACGATAGCTTACTTTGTAAGACGCCTCTTGCATTTTCATTATCAGATTTGGCATGAATTTTTGACATGAAGAGTTTACTTTTTTCAAGCAATTCAAGCTTTTGCTTAAACTGTCTTTATCTTTGTGTTCTGGATGATTTGTTTCAAAATGTCTTCGCAATTTAGCAGGTACTAAACAACTATTAGATAATATTTTGTTGCACACTACACACTGGGCACCTGGAGCATCTTCATTTCCATTGCTTGTGAATCCAAATGCCAAATAGTCCTCACAATACCTGCGTTTCTTATTAGTCAGCTGAAATTTTTCATAATTAACTTGAGCTGCCTCAGTATTTTTCTTGCTGGTTTCAGTAAAAATATTGGAGTTTGAAGTACTCCCTTTTCTCTTTAAAGTTCCTTCTTTTAACTAACGATCCATGGGGAATTTTGATATTAGATTGAATTCTTAAACTTAGTCTCACACAGGAGCCACGTGTCCTCTCAGTGTGTATGGGGATTTGTTCCGATCCTCACAGTGAATAGGAGTTCTGGTGTTCCACTCACTGATAGTACTCTTCCCCCCCCCCCCCCCACACCTGATAAAGAGACAGAGGAGCCCAGCGCTCAAAGATGCTGGCTCCTTCCCCGCTCCCCTTTCAGACATCTCCCGCGTCCCCCGCTGCCGCTCTGCTTTTACCACCAGACCTAGCAGCAGCAACAGCTGCTTGTCCTCCTTCTGCCCATCAACCCGATTCTTCTCCTGTGTTCTCTGCTTTTTCCAAGGGATGTAGTAAGTGCTGCTAAGTGCTAGGTCCCTTGGTAAAAGCAGAACGGCAGCGGGGGACGGGAGATGTCTGAAAGGGCAGTGGGGAAGGAGCCAGCGTCTTTGCGCACTGGGCTCCTCTCTGTCTCTTTATGTGCGGGGGGAGGGGAGCGTTCGGGTTCTCGTGGAACCTTTATGTTCACTTCGCGGAACCCCAGGGTTCCGCGGAGTACCATTTGGGAAACACTGGCCTAACCAAAGTGTTGGAGCATAAGCTTTCATGGGCAAAGACCCACTTTGTCAGATGCATGTGATACAAGATGAAACCTTGTAAATATCAATGATAACATTAATCTCTGCAACTACTAGCTCCAGTGTACTTAGATGTGCCCCAGTTCATCCTCGTGTCACAGGATATGTTCAGTTTTCTCATTGTATAATTCCTCTGTATTTTTTGGCTGTCAGAGGATGTAATTGTGCTTAAATCAGCAAAGCGTCACTATTCTCGAGAAGCTGAGAGTTCAGTGTACTTAAATGAGATCCTCATTCAGCTGCATTGTTCTTTCAGCAATCAGTCAGCATTACAACAGAGGAGAGGCAGACTCAAAATATGCAAGTAATGAGAGATACGCAAAATGCATGCAACCTTCTGAAGGTAAATGAAAGGTATAGACAGAGTATATGATGTAGATGTTTGGTTTGTATGTAGAAGCAGGTCATCGGCAGCCATTTCTTTTTCTTCCTTCACCTCCCTTCCCCACTTAAAAGATTTCTTCAGGAGTAAGCAGATGCCATCTTGTGTATCAAATGTTCTATTTGAAGTCATAAATCACTTGACGTCACATCTGGTTGCTGTAGAAATATGTGTCAAATAGAAAATGAGCATGTCAGTTAGCAAATATAGTAGAGAAGGAGATGCAGTGTTTTTAAAGACACATGATTATTGTAATCAGAATTGAAGTGCGAAAATCATAGGTAATATTCTTGTCATAGATTTTATATAGTGTCTTTTATCTCAGAAGATTGAAAAACACTGAATTTCTCCCACTGAAAAACGACCTGGCCTGAAATTGAGCGTGGCTGATAATTTTAAATTGTGTGAGGTACACGTTTTAACCAAACTTAATTATTCAGAGGGGAAAAAAAGAAACTAGTTGTGTGTAAAAAAGCTATTTTATGGGGTAGAAATGAATTATTTGTACTGTATATTGTTCTGCAGTGATCTTTCCATTGTCTCTGAACCTTTGATCCCAGAAGAATGTCTGCTACACCTAAGGGAAGATTCATTTCGAGATTTTAGTTTATGTAACATGACTGACGCCTTCTGAGCATGCAACTTGTGGCTGCTTTGAAAGGTGGATTGTAAATCAGGCATCATATACTCATACAAAAACAGTGTCAGCACATTTAGTTTCCTCTTGAAGGGGGCATGCTCTCCTGTAACTGTCAGCTGACTTTATACAGTCAGCAAGATATCTTAGTATGTGACCTGCCATAATATGCTTATTAATTGTTGTCAAGCAAGTTGATTTGTATAAAGTGGCAAATTTAATTAAGGTTAGGAAAACAAAACCATATTCTTTTATCTGCTGCTTTTAACTATGAGAAAAATGTAAACTTGACAAGAGAGGATACCACTGTTCAAAACTTTTACTTAAAATGCACAGAAAAAAATCTAAGTATATTTGTTCCTGAAGTTTTTTTTTTTTTTTTTTTTTAAATCATAGTGGATTGACACAAAATGGTTAGCACAGAAAATAATCTTTGTAACTGCTTTTATGATGGTGAAAATAAAATCTGGTTTCTTTTAATAGGAATTTGATTTATGCCATTCTATTTTAAAGAAGTATTCTGATGTATTTCTGAAAAATGGTACTATTAAATATTAACTTACTAGAAATTACCGGTGGCTTAGCCAACAGAGGAATTGATATACCATATCTAATCATTTAGCCCAGGAGGATACTGTGTCTGCCAAGGATGGCTTGAAGTGCTTCAGAGAAGGTGCAAGAAATCCTGTGGTGAATCATCACGGAAAAAAGCATTGCCTTAGACTTCTTGAACCAATCATTAACTGATGAGGATTATGTCTTGAAGTATAGAAGAGGATATGATTGCATACCTTCAGATTTTTCTGCCTAATGTAACTGGCTAATTCTTTTGATCATACTAAGCTCTGGCCTCCGTGATACATTGTGGCAGTGAGTTTTGTAGGCATTGCTTATTTAAGTGTGGCCTTGTATAATTTGTTGTCTTTCAATTTCATAGACTGAGCCATTGCTTTTATAATAAAAAAGAAGATAGATGTGTTGAATGAATGAGCAGAAAATTATATATCTCCATTATGCCTCATCAAAACACTGAATAGCTGCAGCCTTTTCAGTCTCTGTATAGGGAAGTTTTTCTTTGTTGCCTGTAACGTTTGACACCTTTGTATTAGACACCTCTTATTTTCATTTGTTTTTGAGCTAGGATCATCAGAACTGCACAGAGCATTCCAAATGCGGGTATACCATCAATATCTACAAAACAGATTTCCTGTATTTCCCAACACTTTTTCTTCCCTTGGAACTCTCTCCAATATAGTACCCAGATATTTCTTCTGAAGTCAGTCAATTCAAATCCTAGCAATATGTATTAGTACAGTCTGGTTTGTTCCGCTTTCCCCTAATAGTTGTAATAATAAAATTTTGTTTTTCAGTTTTCTCCCATATACATAAGTTGTTGAGTCATTCTGAAGTTCCACAGGGTTTTTTCGAGTCCTTACTTAGAATCCTAGAACTGGAAGGGACCTTCAGGTCATTGAGTTCAGTCACCTGCCCTCACAGCAGGACCAAGCACTGTCTAGATCAGTGGTTCCCAAACTTTTCAGCATCACGCCCCCTTTTTGGTTTTTGAGAAACCCTCACACCTCCCTCCCCAAAATAATAGCAGCAAAATTTGGGGTGGGATTGATGGGGAGGGTGTGGCTGGGTCGCCTAACCCTCCTCCCTCTCCCTCCCCCCCCCGGAATTTCTTCATCCTCCCCAGGGGGGCACACCACCCAGTTTGGGAACCCATGATCTAGATCATCCCTGATAGATGTCTGTCTAACCTGCTATTAAATATCTCCAGTGATGGAGATTCCACAACCCTCTAGGCAATTTATTCCAGTGTTTAGGAAAAACTTCCTAATTGTCAGGATGGTCAGTGTCCTACCTAAACCTCCCTTGCTGTAGTTTAACCCCATTGCTTCTTGTCCTACCATCAAAGACCAAGGAGAACAATTTTTCTCCCTCTTCCATATAACACCCTTTTAGATACTTGAAAACCCCTGTCATGTCCCCTCTGTCTTCTATCTTCTAAACAAAACAAGCCCAGTTCTTTCAGTCTTCCATCATAGGTCATGTTTTCTAGACTTTTAATCATTTTTGTTGCTCTTCTCTGCACTTTATCCACATCTTTCTTAAAATGTGGCGCCCAGAACTGGACACAATACTGCAACTGAGACCTAATCAGCACAGAGCAGAGCGGAAGAATGACTTCGTGTCTTGCTCACAGCACTCCTGATTCTGGGATGCATTAACATGTTGGCTTATTTTGCAGCCGTGTCACACTGACTCATGCTTAACTTGTGGTCTACTGTGATCTCTAGATCCCTTTCTGCAGTGCTCCTTCCTAAACAGTCGCTTCCAGTTCTGTATGTGTGACTTTTTTATTTATTTTTTTACTAGGCTAAATAATGTTGTCTTCTGTATATTTTTCACCATAATAGTCGTTCACCACATGTGACGAACCCTCCCCCCCCCCCATGCTTTATGAAATGGACTCATGGACATGAATATATATAACTCAAAGGTGGTTTGTGCAAATTATTTTATGTAAGCCCATCGATCTTCATGTCATGATCTGCTGGCTCTGTTTCTTACGCTGTTGTATGTATCATTTGTGTGCGTAAAATTAGAGACATGGAGTAGGGAATACTTTGTGAGGTTTCAAATGTGTGAATGGGAGACATGGAAGGTGTTTCCTGTATCTTCTAGATGTGCCACTGTTAAACAATCTTTTTTCCTTAAGTCTGAGCAGTGGTTGGTAGGAGTGGCCTCAACTCCTTAACAAAAGGACTAGGAAAGGAGAGGCTGGGGTCTTTTGGCTGGGCTGCACCTGGAGGAAGGGCCGGGGACCCCAGGGTGTGGAGGAAAGCCCTGGTTTGGAGGGGCAGCTGGAAAAGAAGTTTTACGGTAAGTTTGATTGTACTGAGGTTTCAATGTAGAATTAGCCAAGCAGTTTTGTTTCTTTTGATTTGTAACCTACTTTGCTCTGCCTGTCTTCACTTATTACTCCTTAAATCCTACTGCTTAAACTTAATTAAACCATTTTTATTGTCTATCAAACCCAGTGTAAGCAAATGTTACCTTTGGTGGAGGGGGTAACCAGTGTGCACATTCCCGCTTTCATTGTTAAAGGTGGCTTACTTAATTTTTTGGGGTATGATCCCATCTGGGGAATGATAACCCCAGATGGGATAGGCTGGGCCCTAAACTGCGCACTCCTTAGACCTGAAGAGGTTTGGTGTCTGTACTGCTTTTCAGTGGGGGCAGGGACCTGAGCTCGGGGCCTTTCTGGAGGAGACCAGCGAAGCTGGCCCAGCGGTACTGGGCAGTGAGGAGCCCCAGAGAGCAGGAAGGCGACTGTCAGTGGCCATGTCAGCACCCTGGGAGGCACCCCGAGAGGTCATCTGTGACCGCACCCCGTCACAATCCAATCTTTTAGAACAATAATAAGATACTGCAAGTCTTGCAATATATCCTTGTGTACCCTAGTATTAATCCTTTGTCATAACAGTTGATTACATTACTAGAAGGAGAAAGTGAACAGTTAACTAGCATTACTCTTTCTTGTTGACCCTCCTTATCCATTAAGCTCTGATTGTGTCATCTGTGACCGCACCCCGTCACAATCCAATCTTTTAGAACAATAATAAGATACTGCAAGTCTTGCAATATATCCTTGTGTACCCTAGTATTAATCCTTTGTCATAACAGTTGATTACATTACTAGAAGGAGAAAGTGAACAGTTAACTAGCATTACTCTTTCTTGTTGACCCTCCTTATCCATTAAGCTCTGATTGTGCTGGTTGAACAGTTAACTTGTAAAATTATGTTTATATCCCTAATTCTTACCTATTTTCTGTTTTTTACCCACTTCCTAATTCATGATGGTATATTTACTTCTCATCTGATGCATAAGTAGGTACTTAAATAATAAGTCGTGAGGGATTCTTGACCAAGGCTTATTTTGAAAATCTATATCAAATTTTATGAGTTACTTTGTGAAACATTTTAAGAGTTTTAATAGTTTTCCTTTTCTGAAATCACACTAGCTTGTCCCTGTAAAATTTTCTTCAAGGTGTATTGAAATTCTTATTTCATACAATGTACCTGTAATGGAACTAAGTTTTATTAGTCTGTAATGCCCCCAATATTACCTATTGCCTTTAAAAAAAAAAAAAATTACTGAAGCAATATTTGCATCTCTTTAGTACTCCATGGTATATTAGGTGATGTCTTTTATTTTTAAAGTTCCTCCAAATGTTTGGGGACTTTGTTATCCCTTACCAAGTTTGTTCAACAACCACCTTTTTTGACACATCTATCTCCAACAGCACTTTTTCTTTCTTAAGAGTAAGACTGAGAGCCATCTCAGCAATCTATCTTGCGTTGCAGACTGAAGTAAAGATGTAACTTGTCTTTGTCTTCCTTATTCTGTTAATCCAAAAAAACCTCACCAATCTTATTTTTTGCTTTTTGATATATTTTATATCATATATTTGGTGTCTCTTTAGCTTTTTGCTCTTCAAATCTTGTAGCTCTCCTAATTCACCTATTCTGCCTGCCTGACACAGAAAGGACAGCAAGCTGTTAAATTTAACTTGGATTTTTATTTTCTGAAGAATACTTGTTTTTTGGCTCAAATCACCAGGATGATTTTTTTCTACTTAAGGGGATTAGCGCAGCATCATGGCCAAATAGGGTTTACTCTTTTTTCTTAAGTCATTATACTTTCCCACGCAAATTCATTTCTTATAGATCCTGTTGATTTGTGTACTTTACTTTAATATAGCTCTAAAATACAAAGGGTTTTTTTGGGGGGTGGGGGGAATCCTGCTATGCTTTAGGTGTTGACTATAAACGTATGTGGGAAAGATTATTGGTAGAGGCAGTGTCTTTAGTAAGACAGTTGACTGAGAACTTGAGAAGACCATAAAACAAAATATGCAAGGATTCCAATCCCAAATAGTCATAACAAAGAAACAGACTAGGGTGTATTACCTATCTTTGTATTAATATGGTGAAAGGGTAAGAGTTGTTTTTTGTTTTTAAATGAATTCATTTTGTTCCTCTACACCATTGGTTCTCAAACTGCAGTCCGCAGACCCCCACCTTCCAGGTGGTCTGCAGCCCACCTCCTCTTTGTGCTTCCCCTTGCAACAGGGAGCCTGTGCCAATGCTCCAGCCTCCTGGCCTCCCCCCCCCC